AGGCAGCATTATAGATTAAACAGTACATTATGAAGTAGTTAAAATTAGCTCAACCTCAATACAAAATTAAAGTACAATTACATTACTGTAACAGCTCTGCAATAAGGATCCAATAATATATAAATACACTGAGAGGGGCCAATGTGCATTAGTTGGTCATTAGTATTAGTTGTTAAAGCTTCTGTATTTTTACTTAAGTGAACCCGTGAATAATTGTAGTAGAGTATTTTTACTGTGACCTTTACTGAAGTTAATGATTATTTCCATTCTTCATCCAGCCCTGATCTCCGGTGACTCCCCATTTAGTTTCAGAATAGATAAGCTCTCTGACATGCTCATGAACTGGCTTTCATTAGTCTCATCCCCTATAAATAGAACCGGCAATCTAATATGCCAATAAATGTTACATTTCAATGCACTATCCATTCAATGATGCTGCTAGTACAAGCTATTCTTCATTTACTTTATTTGCTACATATGAGTTGTCATATAACAATAATGATTTCCTCGTGCTCATAATTACATGCATACGTTTTATACGTTACAGATGCAGTTAGATGCATTTTCACAACAGCCTTTGAATGCATAAATATATAAATAAATACATTTTCAGTTGCTCAGATGATCAACTCAACTGTACCCGTGTGAATGACAACAAACCAGCTGTGTATCTATTTTAAATGCCCCTGCAGTTGTCTGAATGAAAACCATGCCGTTGGTGCTGCTGTTTACACTTCCTGCCACTTACAGCTACTTACTGCTTATTACTCTTCCTTGCAGTGTGGTTACCAAAACACAGAGTAACCCGTGGAGCTCTGCTTGACATCACATTGATAGGCACACACTGGCTCACTTTGTTGGAGAATTGGCAGACAGTTTTATTTATTTTCCATTTTTCCCAGGGTAAAGCCCTGCATATGCACGGGTCAGTTAGGCTGGTTTTAGGACAAAAGACAACAGTATGGTATATTTTAAAAAAAGCACGAAGAATACAGAGAAAGCTAGTTCTACAATACAAGAGGGAAGAAAACTATGTGATGTACCACTTTTGTATTGGCTTTGGGTGGAATGAGCAGTTTCTAAAAGAACAAGGGCAGGGTGTGTGACATTATCCAGACGGTGTTTTCATTGCTTGTGGTGATGCAGGCTTTCATCCCCAAGGACACATCCAGCCCTGAGACAATGCCACATAATTTCATTTTCACAGAGCAGGAGACACAGTTCAACCAGGTCAGAGTGTTGAGGTGTTTTAAAGAGGTTTTTAAAAGAAGCATCGGCCTTTGCAGCCAAAATGAAACAAGTAAATGATTTCAATAATATCCCAATAAGGTCATTATTAATGGTGCTGGCTCTATCACACAGAGTGCAGCTGAGGGTGTTTTCTGAACTGACCCCAAAGGCACAAGATGTCAAAAAGTCAAGCTGAAGAGGTATTTTCAGTGGCCACTAGATGGTATAATGTATGCACGCAACAGGTTTGCACAAGGTGACAGCAGCACTGCACTTAGATGATATTAGTATAATTTTATTTTCTATTTTTTCTCATAATGTAGAGGAGGCCTAACACAGATCTTAATGAACTCAATGATTTAAACACCACGTGTGTTTTTTTGTGTGTGTGTAACTATATACAAACCAAGTGACACGGAGATTAAAAAAAAGATAAATAATATTATTTATCTT